ATTTTCTGCAAGGTATATGATCTGGTTTTGAACTGAAACCTCAGACACATTCTGAGCAAACATCTTGTAAATAAAGGTTCATAATAGGAACCCTTTTAAGTGATAGTTGACGCAGAAATGAAAACAGCCTCACCATTTACTCTCTCCCTAGTGTGGTTTCAAGAGTTCACACTTAGCTCATGATTTATACATAGCTTGTTTGGCATGCTATCCCGGGAGAGAGCCCAAGCCTTAGGGATTCTCGAGCCCAGGGCTCTCCCCTTTTGCAGGGCAAGGGGAGATCGAGCTCAGGTCGATCTCAAACTCCCCCGCTGCTGAGGCCAAGGCAAACTTCCTGAGAGTAAGACATTATAAAAAAGGTTTAAGGCTTATTTTATCTATAATATAGAGCACATTTGGATGGCGGGAGGTAGAGATCTGCGCGGGACTAAATTTTGAATCCCGCTCCCGCCCGCACCCGCCAGGTTTTAGCCCGAACCCGACCGCTCCCACTTATATTAAGAATTTATTGTGCCGCTGCCCGACCCGCCCCGTTTTCTGGCCGCCGCGCCCGATCCCGCTAAAGAGCGGGGGAGAACAAAACCGAAAATCCTACAGCTATACAGTCCAGACAGCCAAGCTGTCTGTATAAACACACACACACACACACACACACACACACACACAGCACCAAGCACACACACACAAACAAATCTCTCTCTCTCTCTCATACGCGCGCGCACTAACACACACACAAGCACCAAGCAGACACACAGGCGTTTGCTGTTATATCAACTCAAAGGCTTGTAATACCATGTATCAAGTACCAATGTAATACCAAAAGGTTTTATATAAAGGTATATGAATACTGAGTCGCGCCAGCTCCGGGCCGCAGCACAAATTACTCTCGGGCCGATTCCGGCGCGGATGCGGCAGCGTCGGCTCGCTTACGGCCGCCGCATCTGGCCCGATTGATTCGGGCCGGAATTGGGCAGTGAGTCCACAAGCATCCGGAGTCCGGCAGCCGGAGCCGGGCTGAGTGGTAAGTCTCTGGCAGGCGAGAATCTAGCCGGAACTGGCTCGAGTGTATTTTGCTATCTGGGAAAGCTCTCTCACTCACTCTCTCTCTCTCTCATTCGCGCGCACACTAACACACACACAAGCACCAAGAACACACACAGGCAAAGCTCGCTCGCTCTCTCATAGCAATATCCGCGATATTGCTAGACAGCCCGCTCCCATCCCAAATTAAACCCGTTACCGACCGCTCCCGCGATTTATCCGGAAATTTATTCCCGCGCCGCAGAAATCTGGTCGGGTCCTGCGGGAATGCAGACCTTTAGCGGGAGGAAACCAGGGAACCCCGGGGAAACCCCAGAAAACATGCAAACTTCGCACAGAAATACCAGATGGCTCAGCGAGGACCAAACGGCATAGGTATTATTGCTGAGAGGCAACAGTGCTAGTCACTGAGCCACCATGCCATCCATTCTGGAAAAAGGGGAGAAGGGGGGTTTCTTCCAGACAGAGATAGTTGTAGAAAGGAAATGAGGATTTATAAAGTGACTTGGGATCCTTTGATTGGAGGATCATCATTGGCTAATGTGGACCAGCTGGTCAATCATGAGCACATGCTCCTCTCGAAATTAGTTTAAAATTAAACTTCACTTTAAACCTTTGAGTTTCTTCATTTTGTTGAACACAAACAAAGAAGTAAGGAAATGTTTAAAAGCACATGATGAAGAGAAAATGGTCGGGTCATTTAAATTTGTGAAACATCCATTTCATGCTTGTCACTTTGTGCCTTCATACTAAAGTTTTTTTTTTTTTTTTTTTTTTTAAGACCTGATGGTGCTGAAAGAAGAGACTCAATGGAATGAAATGGAAGAGAAACATCAGTTTGAGAAACCTCAAGAAATAACAACTGATGAAAAACCTACACTGACTAAAAAGGCTTCACGCGGAAGACCTCGTAAATCCAAATCTGGGTGTAATTTTAGCTGTAAACATTGTGGAAAGAATTTTGCTTATAGACAAAACATTATAAACCACATGAGAATTCACACTGGAGAGAGGCCGTACACATGCCAACAGTGTGGAAAAAGCTTCTATCATGCAGGAAACTTTGCAGCGCACAGGAGAATTCACACTGGAGAGAGGAAGTACACATGCCAACAGTGTGGAAAAAGCTGCTCTAATGCAGGAAACTTTGCAGTGCACATGAGAATTCACACTGGGGAGAGGCCCTACACATGCCAACAGTGTGGAAAAAGCTTCACTCATGCAGGAAACTGTGCAGCCCACACGAGAATTCACACTGGGGAAAAGCCTTACTCTTGCCCTCAGTGTGGAAAGAGTTTTAGGCAAAAGGGCAACCTTGAAACCCACATGAAAACTCACAAAGGAGAGAGAAGTTTTACTTGCACACAGTGTGGGAAACGTTTTCTTAAAAAACAAAACTTTAACAACCACATGAGGATTCACACTGGAGAAAAATCTTACTTTTGCACAGAGTGTGGTAAAGGTTACATATGTAAAAGCACACTCAAACAACACATGATAACTCACACTGGAGAGAAGCCGTTTACATGTGCTCAGTGTGGAAAGAGCTTAACAACCAAAGCTAGCCTCAAGAACCACATGGAAGGTCACACTGGAACCATAGTGTTCACATGTTATCAGTGTGGAAAGAGTCTCACACGCAAAGACTCCGTTAGGAACCACATGAAGATTCACTCAGGAGAGGGTCGTTTAAGGTGCAGTAAGTGTGGAAAGGGCTTTAAACATAAAAGAAGCCTCAGCACTCACATGAAACTTCACAATAGAGAACAGAGTTCTCAAAATTGAGGCCTTCGTGTAAACACAAATATGGGTACTGCGTCTGAAAAGGTGTAAACCAAATGATCTACTGGAACTCAAGACTTGTGACCCACTCAAAGCAGTTGGGTATTCTATATAGGGGTTACATCTTTTGTTATAAAGTAGTGTCTCACAGACTGTACTTTGGGTTAAGTTACTTGAAGAAGACCGGTTAACATCACTGTTGAGGAACTGCACTATTCATTGTCTTCAGTAAAGTCTTCTCCTCGTAAGAACTTTGGTCTTTGGCAGATACAGAAAAGATCAGGGCCTGGTATGTGGACGTTTTATGATCTGTTCACATGTTGATTGGTCAGTTTGAATGTCTCAGTATTTGGGCTTTAGTCACATGGTCAAGAAAGATACAAAATAGGTGTAAAACTCTGCTCTGTTTCTTTTCCTGGGCTCTCTTTTTTTGTCTCTGTGCTCTCCTGCTCTGCTCCTCTCCTGGGGCCTGTTTCAGTAAGGAGGTTCAAACAACTCGGAGTTTAAACTTGAACTCGGTTTCGGTTTCAGTATAGCTGATCTGAGTTAGATCAATCAACTTTGAGTAGACCAACTCAGAGTTAAGCGCGCACACTGTGACTATAAAAAGACATTATCAATGGAGCACAGATATTACGAGTGACTATGGCAACATCTTAAAAAAAAGAGATCAGCATTTCTTTTTCCGGCTGAATTTGATCTGCTCATGCAAAGTTATAGCAAATATGAGTGTATATATTTAAAAAGAAGCAACCATCAGTGAAACAGACAGTTAGCGTGAGAAAACAGCTGCTCAAGTTAATGGGTAATTTTTTAATTTAAAGTATTTAAATATTTAAGTATAATAAAATAAGTAATGTAATGTGTGACGTTTCATAAAATGTTTCTAAACTTTTATACACATCAATTTTAATTGATTTAACAGTGCACTTGTGTGTCTGCCTTTTTATTGATCAAGTGATAGAGGTTGATATAACATTTAGAAGGTAAGCAGTGCTAAAAATACTTTTTAGAAAGAATAGTAATCCCATTAATCTAGTAACAGTACATGTCAAAGTTTAAGCTAATTATTTATGAAAAAAGGACAAGCCATTCTCGTATGTGACTTTGTTCTGTGTGTGACAAAAATGTAGGCAATATCTATGTTTCCATCCAAATATATTACATAAATTTGTGCAAAACTGGAGTAATTAATAATATACACTAATACTGAAACAGTTAAGGCATTTTAGAATGACCAAAACAACATTTTAAGATGTTCTACTGTGTGTTCAGTCTGCTGGTTTGTCCATTCACACACTTTTTCATCATCATCTCTAACAAACCTTTTTTTAATTTACATACTGTAATTTGTTAAGTGTTTCCTTCGTAGTTCATGCGCATCTTATCAAATAAAAGTTGAACCTATTCAGTTATGCACATGTTTTATTATGCTTATTTTAATAAGTTATGTGAATCATGACGTTTCCATCAATCGTTTTTATGCACATCTCCAAAATGAGCTCTAAAACAGGTGTGCGGAGACGTAAGGCTAAGTAAAATACCGCTTTATCTTTAAAAAAGGGGAGGAGACCGACTGAAACTCAGAGTTTAGAAAATAAAACCTGCTCCGGACCAGGTTAGATTCACAGAGTAAGTTACCACGGTAACTGACTCTGAGTTAAAGTTACCTCTCTTTCAGAAACAGGCTTGACTTAACCTGCTTTCTCGAGTTTAACAAATCTGCCATTTTGAAACAGAAAACCCAGAGTTTCTCTCATTTCAGGGTTCAAATACTCTGAGTTTTCACTTAACCTCCATTCTGAAACAGGCCCCTCATCTACACTACATCTTCTCTGACTCTACTGCAATCAGGCTAACTTCTGGGCCAGCTCTCTTTGTCTCTCTATTCCTCCCCTTGTGTCTCTCCTTCTACCTCTGGTAACTTTAATTTTACATTTAAGCTGGGTACAGTTTATATCAAATGTTTTATCATTTTATGTTTTATCATTTTACAGTTATTTTGTAATTAATTCAGTTGTAACCATAGAGAATTATTGTCATTAAATCATTTCATTTTCAAGTATTTGTGAATTACTTTTGATTTAACCTCAACATTTTATTTTTCCATATTGCAATACAATACAGTCACATAATATCAACACTCTCCCACATTTATAGCTATTTACACTGCCCTTATTTCCGTTTTTGGTATGAGATTGCAGAAGAATGGTTTGACTAGAAATGCAGTTTTTTTACAATCATTCTGATAACCTTTTAGTCTCTCGGCAGAACTACAGTTCGAACCGCTGTGGTTAAAACCCATTCTTGCAGGCGTACCAGTGCAAGTGAAAGGGAATCACTAAAGGGCAAGTTGGCTATATTAACACCCATTCATCTTCACACCAAAAAAATTGATGGTGCTGATGAGCAAAAGCTAATTGAGGGAAACACAAACGAGCTACCTCCCCTCACAGTACTGCAAAAGATTTCCAGTGAAAAAAAAAACTTGAAAACAGAATGGACACACATCCTTTTCTGGATTGCATGAAAATCCTAGAAGAACAAGACCTTAACCATGAGTTCAGTCATCTAAACCATTATTCTCTGCAGTTTGTGCAGTCATCACTCACATGTACACAACTGATCAGCGACAAGTTTTAAATAACTTCCAAAAAAAGGCACTCTTCGCTTATGCCTGGATGCAACAGGAACAGTTGTTGCTAATCCAAGGAATGTTAAGCATGTACTGTTCTTCTGCAACATCAACAACAGGGCCAACAGTTGTTCCAGTTGCTGAAATGCTCTCATCTGACCAGAGTACACCATCCATCCAGCACTGGCTAACATGTCTTTTACAGGACTTTCTTAAAAATGTTTTAAAAAACACCTACAACCGGACAAAATTGAAACTGATTTCAGCAGTGCAATAATACATGCATGTGTACATGCTTTCTGCCAGCAAACAATACACAAATACTTGCAGCAGTGTCTTCTGGCTTGTGAGGGAAAAGAACATTGTTCATTCCTTGTAGTGTACATTTGTTCAGCACACATGCTCAAAATATTCTGCTGCAAGGTAGCCTGTATAAAACATTAAAACCCACCAAACAGCTTTTCATATATTTAATGGCATTGATGCAGAATGCCACAACACTACAGGAGATTTAAGCACTGGTTGGGGACATTTTCACTGTTTTTACAGAAGAAAAAAACAGCATGCCGCCAGGATAGTCTAAAAATATGCAGAATGCAATCCAAAACCAGGCCATTGTTGTGGATTGGGGAAACTTCAGAAGTGAAAAAGAAGAATTTCTATGCCGACATCACAAAAGACAATCAGGCATGACTCTTCCTTTGTTCAAATGTTTGAATATATCCTCTCAGATAGGAGAAAACATTTGAAACATAAAACCATTGTAGCTCCTACCACTGCCTACTTTTGATTAATGTGCTTAGGTCATACATAGGCACATTACTACTCTGGACAAACATCATGTTGAAACACCTTGGCTAGACTCGTGACACTAATGCAACAGCTGAAAATTGGTTCAGGACAACAACAAAAATAGTCTTGAAAAATAAACTACACAGGCGGTCAGGAAATTTCATACAGGAAATGCATGAATTCATCTGTGGTCGCCTGTGTGGTATTCAGATAACTGCAATCTGAAAAAAAAAAAAAAACTACTGAGGACAAAGAAATAGACGAAATTGACCAAACACTGAGTCTGGAGGAGAAGTATTGAAAAAAGACACAGAAATATACTACAACCCCCCAAAGAGTCAAAAAGTGGCAGTCAAGGAAGAATCTTTCACATCTCCTCCATCGTCTGGTCATGGACAGCTGGAAGGTCGCTCTTTGACGCTGACCAACACATGTACCATTGATAATCTGTTGTACATCATGCACCTAACTTTCAGGGACAGGCCACTCATTCTTTACACGCAGAGGAAATAAAAACAAAAGACAAGTGGATAGATACATTGCTTAAGATTCATCAGGAGTTCATGGCAGGCCAGTGGTCTCAGATGAAGATCTTATGGCCAAAGGGAATGGAGAGATTTGAAGGAAAGGATTGATGGGATGCTTTTGGAACAGAAGATGACTTTGTTGTGTGTCGCCTTGATTACATTCATGCAACGGAAAGAATGTTTGTATGCACCCAAATGCCCTTCTCCTCAAATCCCAAAGCTTACTGGATAGCTGGTGTTGTGTACGTCATAAAAAGCATTTTTAAACAACAATTTTGGTTTTGTCATAATACCAACATAAATGTATGTTCAAATATTAATAATTAATTTCTATTGTCTTTAAGATGCCATGACTTCTCTGAACTGCAATTATCCACTGACAACTGGGAGGTTTATGCAAAGACATTCAAGTGTCAAGCACAGGTTTGCAACACTTTTAAGTCATCCTTCATTGGAATAACATATTGCCTGCAAGAAAATGCCAAAATATAAGTGACACATACAAACACATATAAAGCATTGCACAGGATGACATCTGTTTTTTTCCCAGTGTTATTATAATAAAACAACAAATTTAATGCTTCTGTTTCACTGTTTGTTTTTGACATGCACAGTAATAGAAAGGTATGCCCGGGAAGGAGAACCTACACCAACCAGAGGTTTATTCATGAAATTCCTCCTTTTGTGGTCATATCAGTCTATTCAACAGTCTACAGTTATGGTCATCCGGAACTGCAGCCACCAATGCTTTCTTCATCGGTGTTAATTTGTGGCCAAAGGCAAGACTCCTTTTAACTGACAGATTATACATATGTAAAGATTCAATTTAATTTTCAACACAAGTATAAATACATATAATTTATTAACAACAAAAAAAATACAATAATTACAAGTTATCTTTTACCTTTGTTGACAATCATTAATATAAAAAAAGCTAATTATATAAAACTAAGGTACAATATTACATTTAAACAATATGATGTTATGTCCCTTCTCCTTTTTGGTATAGGGTTGGGGAAGGAAAATAACAAAAAAAAAAAAAAAATTAAAATTTAGAATTTGAGAAAAAGAAGACCAAATTAATTAATTTTGTATAAATTCAATAAACAAAAATTAAGGGAACACTTCAATCCTGCCTCAGAAATGTAAAACATACACACACACACACACACACACACACACACACACACACACACACACACACACACACACACACACACACACACACACACGAGTAAAACTTAAATATTTTATTATTTGGTTCTCAATCAATAAGCAATAAATTAAGCATAAATCTTCAGGAAAAGGATTAACCAAAACAAACAAAACAGATCTAGCTCCAGAGGAGTACTAAGTAACCTAATTTCAGGTAAAAGAAAAGAAACAAAGGCTTTCCTCAACTCCCTTACTTTGAATAAACAGTCAAACAAGTACAAAAATAAAAATGGCACCCTCTCCCTACAGCTTCAATTTGTAAACCAAAAAGTCAGACAAAGAAACAATACAATTACCTTTTACATGCCACACACACAAAAATATATTTTAACCACACAACTAAGAAAACAGACACACTGCCTTTAAAAACAAACAAGTTTCTCAACAGACAGAAGTTAAATTGAACTTAATAACCTATTAAACTTCTTTCTATAATCAACAAGCTCAAAACCCACAACGTATAACCACAAGTCTGGAGCAGGGGAGAAGTGAACCTCTCCGTGAGTTGAGACACACTGCTCTTTTGTAGCAGCGCATTACTGCAGCACGCTCCAATGATGAGCACCACCTGGGCCCAATCAGCTCTACCTAGAGCGCAGGTAGAGAGACACATTGGAAGTAAAAGAGAAACACAACATATCCACTCCCAATGGCCAGTAAACACACAAATAAACAATAATAATAAATAATAATGATAAATACATCCAAGGGATGTAACAATAGTTATAGGTAAGTTTTATATTATTATAATTAGTCAAATTTTTAAGTAATATTGTACCTTTGTTTTCAATCGTTTTTGCATTATTATGAATAATTATTATTATTACTTTTATGTAATTACAGCTTTTTTCATAATCTGGGGCCTGTTTCAGAAAGGAGGTTAACTGAAAACTCAGAGTATTTTAACCCTGAAATGAGAGAAACTCTGGGTTTTCCGTTTCAAAATGGCAGGTTTGTTAAACTCGAGAAAGCAGGGTAAGTCAAGCCTGTTTCTGAAAGAAAGGTAACTTTAACTCAGAGTCAGTTACTGTGGTAACTTACTCTGTGAATCTAACCTGGTCAGAAGCAGGTTTTATTCTCTAAACTCAGAGTTTCTGTCTGTCTCCTCCCCTTTTTTAAAGATGAAGCGGTATTTCTCGCCTTAGCCTTACGTTTCCACCCACCTATTTTAATGCTCATTTTGGATACGTGCATAAAAACGATTGATAGAAACGTCATGATGCACATAACTTTTTAAAATATGCATAAAATACGCGCATAACTGAGTAGGATAAACTTTTATTCGATAGAAAATGTGCGCATAAACTACGATGGAAACACTTTTACTGAACAAATTACAGTATGTACATTTAAAATAAGATCATGATCATATGATAATGAAAATGTGTGTAAATGAACAAACCAGCAGGCTGAGCACACTGTAACACGTCTTAAATATTGTTTTAGTCATTCTAAAATGCCTTAACTGTTTCGGTATTATTGTATATTATTAATTACCTCCGAACGTCTGGTGCGTGTCAAGAGTCTCTGCATCTCATGGCTTCAGACGCCCCCACGTGTTCATTGTGTTTCAGCATTGTCTTCTGACATTGAGGAGCAAGTACATTAATTAGGCTAAATAAAGAATTAATTGACACAGCTTCTTCTACCACAGTAAATTCTGTTTTTACTGTTGATATTTGGTGCCAGTTTAATCAGAAAGTTACGATTTTTTTCTCTTTGACTCGTTGGATGGAATTTTATTCGCATCTTTTATGCAATATTCCAGTTTTGCACATACATTTATGTAATATATTTGGATGGAAACATAGCTATTGCCTACATTTTAGTCACACACAGAAGAACTGTACGAGAATGGCTTTTCCTTTTTTAATAAATAATTAAATTAAATTCACCTTCGACATGCACTGTAACTAGATTAATGGGATTATTATTCTTTCTAAAAATTATTTTTAGTACTGCTTACCTTCTAAATGTTATATTAATCTCTATCACTTGATCAATAAAAAAGGCAGACACACAAGTGCACTGTTAAATCATTTAAAACTAATAAATGTATAAAAAAAAGTTTAGAAAAAAAATATAAACGTCACAAATTACATTACTTATTTTATTATACTTAAATATTTAAATACTTAAAAAGTGAAATTAGGCATTAACTTGAGCAGCTGTTTTCCCACGCTAACTGTCTCTTCTTCACTGATGGTTGCTTCTTTTCAAATATATACACTCATATTTGCTATAACTTTGCATGAGAACATCAAGTTCAGCTGGAGAAAGAAATGGTAATCTCTTTTATAAGATGTTGCCATAGTCACTCGTAATGTCTGCGCTCCATTGATAATGCCTTTTTAAAGTCACGGTGTGCGCGCTTAACTCTGAGTTGGTCTACTCGAAGTTGATTGACCCAACTCAGATCAGCTATTCTGAAACCGAAAACTCAGAGTTTTTAATCTCTCGGTAAATCAACTCAGAGTTCAAGTTTAAACTCTGAGTTGTTTGAACCTCCTTACTGAAACAGGCCCCAGATATCAACCTGCTGCTGTGACATAATCTGGAGACAGAAAGTCTTTTTGTTTCCTTTTACAGACTTACTGGTGGCCACTGGAATTTCTATGATGGCATAAAGGATCTACATCAGCCAGGCTCTGGGGACCGACAGGCAACAAGTCAAGTGATAAAAACAGTGTTCCCCCAAAAATGCACTGTGGGTCATGTTGTGCTTGTGAGAGTAAGTAACCACTTTGCTCTGGCAAATGTATAACCCTCTACGAACATTTTGTTTTTGATTCATCAAATGGCTCTATAGTTTGATTAAACAATGGAGTTTGCAAGGCATAATATCCTTCTGTTTCATCACTACTGATAATGAATTAGAAAGTTTAACAACTGTCGAATACATATAACTTAGATAAACAAGACTTTTTCCCTTACCTTCAAGTTAGAGACTACTTCAATAAAAACATAAGAGATTCAGAAGAAAAACAACAGTAGTGCAGGTGTTTATAGATGCTTACAAAAAGAAGGTTAATGAAAAAAAAACTAGTATCAAGAATTTATTCCTGTCTGACATGGGAAAGGGAAGCCAATATAATAATAACAAATAAGGAATGGTTAACTATTTGGGAAACAGATGATCACAATTAATTCAGATTTATAAAGGGAATTTATAAATGTAATCAGGTTCTTTATAACACCTAAAATACTTTCAAACTAGAGAAAAAAATAGTGAATGCTGGAGAAAATGTGGAAATGTATTGGCAGATCATTTCCACATATTTTGGGAGTGTAATATGCACACGCCTATTGGCAAGATTTAAATAAAGAGATAAATGCTATAATTGGATTGAATTTGGAATGTAATTTTAAAAGTATGTAACTGGGAATTTACTCTGCAGAAATACCAAAAAATGATGTTTCTTTTTAACACACTACTAACAACTAGCAAAAAGGCCATTACAAAGAAATGGCTCAAGAAAGATCCTCTATCTGTAGGCGAATGGTATGATATTGTTAAAGAGGTGAATGACATGGAAGTACTGACATTTACCCCGAGACAACAAGCCTATAACAATTCTGCATACTGGGGCAAATGGTTGAGAAGAAAAATCTTGTTTTAATTTTTGTTGTAGTGCTTTTATTTTAAATATGTTTGGAGCCCTTTGACATGTTACCCTTTCAAAATTTTATATAGCAACATTTTATCAACGATAAATACGACTTTAAATAAGATTGTATTTGGTGACCTTTGCAGAATCGCGCCACTTTTCAAATCTCCCCTTAGGTAATCCAAGAATCCCCTCAGGGAAGGGGGTGTGTAGATAACAAAAGGCATTCGCATTTAGTGCTGCCTATGGGAAAGGCACACCCTTCACAGTGGTTCAAAAGATGCCTGAAGTTATATATTTATTGTTTTGATTATGTCTATTTCTAAGAGAATGAGACCATTGTACCAGTCGCACTGAGACATTTCAAATGATATCAAACATGATAGATAAAGTCACTTGGGTTAATTTAGAACATTCAGGCCCCGTTTACAGTAGTGCGTTTTAGTTTGAAAACGGCGTTTTAGATCAAAAACGATCCGCGTCCACACTAGCGTTTCACCTAGCGTTTAAGAAGTTATCTCCGTCCACACTACGCCACCAAAAACGTATTTCATGTGACCATTCGCGCACTCTGGGCATGCGCGTCCTAGTATAAACAGGAAGCATGTGTCTCGCTCGGCATTTGGTTATTGTTAGTCAACAAATGCCGCTTGAACAATGAATGCGATGGCAAAGACAGCAAGAGAGGTATTTTTGTGGACAGACGACGAGGTCGAGTTGTTACTAAACGTAACAAATGAATATAAAACGGCCATGGCTATCGAAAATGTCGACTGGGAGTCATGTCAGACTAAATACAACGACATACTCAACCAATTTTTGGAGAACTATCCGACATCGGAGGAAGCCATGGCTACGGGAAAAGATTTTCCTCACAAAAAGGAGGACATAACAAAAGGTACGTTGTTTATTCACTCGTTTTTTGTTTTTGTTTTAGTGCTTATAAATACTACAAATCCAGACAAACATATGTAAATTTAAATGGAAAACTATTAGTTATGCAACAAAACATCTGGGGCCTCATGTATCAACGCTGCGTACGCAAAAAAACTTTGCGTACGCCAGGTTTCACGCTCAGAATCGCTCACGTTTGGATTTACTAACAATGAACTGAAAGTGGGAATGTGCGCAGGTTCACGGCAGCTTTCTTGCAGGCGTACGCACATTTTTTGTGCGTGTCTGTTTTATTTCCATTGGCGACTCCTAGAAGCAGTTGTGTTAAATTCTTCTCTACAAAGTGTCTGATCCTTGCAATGGCAGCTGTATGAGACGGGTTTATATAGTAGGTATGTAAGGTTTCCATACCATACAGTTGACCAGCTAAACATTAAAGCACAATTTGCAGCGGTCGCCTGTTTTCCCAATGTAATCTGAGCGATCTACCGCACGCACATTGCTATAAAGACACTATCTGAAGATGAATTTGCATGCGTGAATCAGAAACATTTCCATTCAATAAATGTGCAAATAAAATATGATGCACAAACTTATTGATGATTTCTACTTGTCTTTCTCTTGATAAATAGTGGGCAAAATCTGATATGTAGTGGGGAAAAAAAGAAAGAATTCATTAGACGCTGGATTCGAGCCGAGTTTATGCTCGAACATGTCAGTACATGATCACATGCTTCTTATGAGGTGCGCCACGGATACTGCTAATGGTACTGCAACATTTTTCAGTTATAAACCACACTATTTCTTTTTTAAATGCACTCAGTGCGATGTTCAGACCCAACTGTGTTAACCGCATCAGCTAAACTCTCCCACTCTATTTTTTTTCTTTTGTTGTTAATTCCGGAGAACAAACTTGCAAATAACACCGCTTTTCTCCGGTCTACCTCCGAAAGCAGCACCTCCATTTCACATTCTGTTCAAAGTTTCTCTTTTTGCTTGATTTTGCCATTGCTTTTTCGTTGGGTTTTGCCATTAGCATAGTCATTAGCATATTCATACGGGGGAGGAGGCAGGGAGGAGTTTTGTGCTCGTGCATGTTGCGCTCAGTTTCACGTTCATTCAGATGTACAAAAGAATATGCGTGAGATTCGGCGTACGCAGTGTTTCATACATCTGAATTTTTTTCTGCGTACGCACATTTACAGCTTTGTGCGTACGCAATGTTTTAGTAAGATTTCCATGCAAGTCTTCGTACATGAGGCCCCAGTTGTGTTGTCGGGATGGAGAAAGGGGCTAGACCACGTGTCTTTGTTTGTATCAGTATGTGTTTGTTTCAATAATTATTATATTAGAAACATCAAAACGATTTCAAGTCTATAATAGAAACATCAAAACGATTTCAAGTCTTTTTGCTTTGAAATGTAGACTGCACACACACTGTCGTGTGATTTCTATTGTATAAATATATTAATGGTAAATATGAGAAATATACCATTCTCTAATCTCATGCTTACAGTATGGGTATTTTACATAGTTCAGGAAAACTATGTAAAAGAACAAATTTAACCAGTTTGTGTAAGTGTGTGTTTTTATTTATTTAATGCTTGCTATGTAATATTTTGTATTTATTTAAATGTGTATTTATTTATTATCTGACCTTATTCAATTGGTTTGTGTTTTGTGCTTATAGGTCACGTGACAACAAAACTGAAATCAATACGCCTCCGTTATCGGCAAGCTGTTGATTGTGGCCGGAAAAGTGGGCATGGACGGGTGGTCCTACTCTTCTTTGAGCTTTGTGAGTCGGTTTGGGGAGGATCTCCAGCAACAGTTGCTTTGTTGGAAGGCATAGAGACTTCTTGCATTGGTTCAGAAGTCTCAGAACAGTCATCTACAGGGATGTCAATTTCTGCTGGAGAAAGTGTTACAGAGGGTTCTCCGTCCGCAGTAAGTGGTCATCGTCGCCAGAGACTTGATGCCACTCTCAGCGGTCACAGAACTGAAAGGTTAAAGCGCAAGCTCTCATCTAATGCCCTTGCTCAGGAGGACCTGGAACTGAAAAGACGCCTTCTTCAGCAACTCAAGTCTTCTGACAACGAGTTTGTTCAGACGTTGAGCAAGTGGTCATCAACCATGGAATGCCTGAATACAAACATTGAAATGCTGGTGCAGCATATTGTAGGTTCGGGAAGCCGTGGTCACATGCCTCCTCCATCACCACACCCACCATTTCCAAACCAGTACTCATACGACCGCACGCCCACAAGAAGACCACTTGGAGAGTACAATCCACCAGCAGCACATACAACCCAACAAAGCACCTCACTATATGGCGACTACACAAATTTGTAGTTTTTTTGTTTTGTTTCAGAGTGTACATACACTTATGCAACTTATATGCACAGCTGTACATAGTTAAAAGTGTGATTTGTTTATAAATGTTTCAAGTATTTTGTTTATATTTTATTTTGTTTATATTTTAACTTTTACTGTATACATTCGATGTGTAATGTTTACTGTTTATGCCACTGTTTATTGTACTAACTTGCACATAGTACATACTTATGCACAAACCAACTTGCACATATCTCTCTTTATATATATATATATATATATATATATATATATATATATATATATACACTTCTATAAAACTTATAAGTGCGCTTTTGTTTTAAAATGTTATGTGTTATATTTTCTTTGTATTTAATTTAAAATGTATACTTTTTTGTATTTTTTTTGTGTGTGTTGTGCAATGTTTACATTATATCATATGCAAATTGTCTGTCTATAAACCACTTTCTATTTATTTTAGTGTTTATGTCGTTTTTGTAATTAGATCTACGTGGTCTGTACTAAATGAACTGCAAAACTGATTGTTTTGTTTGTATTTCATTTTGTATTTATACTCAACACGCCTTAATGCTTGTGTTGCGATGTTTCAAGTTTACTTATATTCACTCTAACAAACAAATTATATTGTCCATGTAATCAGGTGTAATAGATACAAGCACACATCACTTTGTCATGACTTTATTTTGACAGTATATTGACATTGTAGTAAAAAGACAATACTCATGATGAAAAGTTAATACAAATTTCAAACTTAAACATGTACATGCTTTAAAAAAAAGCAGACAGCTAAAATGGCTCAGGGGTCAAGAAATCTTGTTAATACGCATCTCACTCGTTTTCCTTCAGCTTCTTTGTCTGCTCTCTCAACTATTCTGTTGGATGGCTGAAAGTCCCTTTCATATTGTAATGCAGCATCTATGCAGTGTTCGTTTATGGGTTCGTTAAGCGTTTCACAGTAGTTGTGTAACACAAAGCACGCATAATAACAAAAGGAAGATCATTCATATTTATGTCCATTGCCCTTCTCAGAGCCGCAAATCGTGCTTTCAAACACACACTCGATCACCATGCGTGCCTTGCAAAGTGATAGCCCATAGTACTGCTCTTGTGGTGTAACTCCGCCGTTTGGGTATTCTTTCATGAGATACGGCATCAGAGGATAAGCTGGATCACCCAGAAGAAACACGGAAACAGCCTCCTCATCATCCAACAACTTCTTAGGACAGGGGGCTATCGTTCCATCCTTTAGGTCGCTACTCAGTTGAGAATTGGCAAATATACACGCGTCATGTACGCCCCCCCCCCCAGGCCATTTTACAACGACGTCCATGAAACAATACTTATAGTCACACAATGCTTGTATATTCAAAGAATATTTACCCTTTCTATTAATTAAGTCTGTGGAGTAGGACAGAGGTCTTATCTCGATGTGTGTGCAGTCAATTGCACCCAAGCACTGCGGCATTCCGTGTGTCTTATAAAAGTTGGCGACCAGTTCATTAACTTTGGCCTCTGTTTTCGGTGTCTTGATGTATTCGGGGCCCAGGGTGGTGGTAATAGCTTTACATACTTGTCGAATGATGATTGAAACAACCTGTCTGGACAGTCCAAATGCATTTGCAGTTTTTCTGATCCTTCCCTCGTCACTCAGGTAATACAAGGTACACGCAACCTTTGTGAGTACATCCACTGGCGCCCGCAATCTCGTAGTCTGTCCTTTCACAAACGGACGAAGTTTTACGCTGAGGTGGATCATGCCCGACCTAGACATCCGAAAGTTCTTATGCCAATCCTCGGGAACAACTACTTCACTTACAAACATGTCCCACCATGCACTGGTTCTTCCCGGTGTAATTCAAAATCGGCGTTCTAAATAGGGCTTACGTCGCTTGAAACGCGAGCGATTAGCGAGAGCTCGAACGATAGCTTGCCTCTTGCGAATATATGCAGCTGCTGTAGCAAAAAATGCAGAGTTTAACTGCACAATGGCACCTAAAACAGACAATAATGCAAACAACGCTCACATTTCCGTGTCCATGTTGTTGTTTACAGTGAAGGCTGGTCAGCTGTCTTCATGTGTTATAGTCATGTGATAGGGGCTTGACGAATAAGGGAAGGATACGCAATGGCACTAAAGCCCCAATCAGGTAGCGAATCTCAGCAGCCCCGCCTCCGTTTTCAGATGTCTCCGTTTTTCCTCATCCACACTGCGACGGAGCAGCAGCGTTTCAGAATGAAAACGGCCTCTCCAGCATTTTCGAAAAGCTCCGTTTTCGCCGCTTGAGAACTCCAGCGTAGTGTGGACGGATGGCGTAACCGTAGCAAATCTTATGCGTTTTAAAACGAAAACACATTAGTGTAAACAAGGCCTCAGACTTTGAAATGACCATATGTGTGAGTTGAGGTGGTTGAAGTCGAGTTTCAGGGGATTCAAATGTAAATGGAGTGGGAGCTGGTTTTTTCCCGCACTCCCGCCTGTTGGGTTGTGGAGTCAATTGTCTGTTTTCGGCTCATGTTTGAATTGTCAAAGACATCAAAGTATATGTGATATCTCATGCCTTACATAGCATAGACCATTTTTCGAAAAGTGACTTTGTCTTTTGACTTTTACCTTTCACATACAAACAGCAGTATCAACAACAAAACAAACAATATAACAAAAACCACAACGAAACACACAGCACTTTTAACTCAACTGAAAGTGAAAAAAAAAATGCTAATGATTTTAGGCCAGCAGATTTGTAAGATTTGAGAACTGAGAAAAATAATAATGTTAATAATAGTACAAACGTGTGTATATATATATATATATATATATATATATATATATATATATATATATATATATATATATGTACATATATATGTTCCCTAAAATTAAAACATTTAATCATTTATTTAGATTTTATTAAAAATTAAAAATCCTTTTATAAGATACTGGAAATAATTCCTGTTTTTAAAGAGTTTTATTTCTTAGCTTTTTGAAATGTAAAATAGACATGCAATATAGTCACCCATATTGCTTTTAATGCATATGATAATCTTTACAATAACTGTAGTGTTGCCACTACGCTGGAATTTACAACTTTGAGATGATACCTTAAAAAATATCAACATTCCATACCATTTTTTATATTTTGTGATTTAAAAAAAATCTTTATATTATTATTAATTATTATTTTATGCACCTGAGACAATATAAACATTAGTATTTTTTATAACTAACATAAACATTTTTATGAATAGCAGATCTTTGCATATTAGCCTACTTGTTAGTGGTAGATAGCTAATACAAAACCATTTAGCATATCAAAAACATTTTTTAGCATATTTTTTGCATATAACATGTTTTAATCGACACGCATATGGAGTTTTGCGTGAATATTATTTGAATATTATTAATATTCTATTCATTATTGAATCCTGATTTTTCAGTATTGCATTACACTACCGTTAAGCAGTGAACAGTAACAGTTTAAGACATCTTGTGTACATTGTTTTTGACGTTTTTCCCTTATAAGTTAAAAAGTCAAATAACAGATCACATATGATAATTTGAGAGATTTAAAGGGAAAAAGGGCAACACGTCAATTGACAGCACTTTACACAGCTTTCGTATTTAATTAATTGAGTCAGTGATATTGAAATAAGTTCAGTTACTAACTTCTCGATATTGTTTATACAGATGAGGGACACACAGTAGTGCGCGTCAACAGAAAAGTGCACGTTTAGAAAGAGCAAAGCGAAAGCAAGATTGTGTGGATATCTTTTGAAATATTGATATTTTGACTCAAACAGCAACAAATTGCTTTGCTCTCGTGTTTAAATTTTGTATGTTGCACTTTGCACAAACTTTACTACTGAAACTGCCTGTGATTTTTCCGTTTCTGTGCGTCATTAACAGATAGTGAACTTAATATCTGCTCTTTCCGTGAGAAAAATGCTATAATGTTTAAGCGGGCCCAATACATGTCCCGATTATCCTACTCAGTGCTGCTAAACTTTTTGTGTTCTTTAAGACTGTCTATTGTATGAATTAGGGTGCGACTGCATGAAAGGATATAAAAGTGAAGTGCGTTTTATGCATGTTTAGACGCGTGATGCGCACAGAAACCTGCGCTCTATGCTGAATTAGTTTGTCTTTCATCTTTTGAGGCCTGAATGGTTTAAAATTAATAAAAATGACTGCTTAAATCAAGATTGTAAATGAGTCTGACGCATAGCAAAAAAAAAAAATTGTTGTTATCTGATGTTGGGCCAAGTTTCTGATTGGGTGGGACAGCCCCCCACCTGAAAACTCTAAAAACTGGATTGACGGTTTCAATTTACTCTAACTTTTATGTTGAGCGGCTTTGACACAATTTACATTGTAAAAGCACTAAATTTATAAAGATGGGTTGGATTAAATCTGCTTAAATGTGCACACGTTAATGGAACGAACAAAATATGATTTGATTCATTTTACATTTAATGTACATCAAATTCACAGTGTGTAGCCAATGTTTCCAGTGTCTTTTCACTTTTCACTTAATGAAAACTAATGTTTTATTTATTTCAGACCTAATTGAAGAAAATGAGGGGAGTAAAGAGGAGGAACATCATGTCAAAATTGAGGAAAAAACTCATTTACAGACTGATGGTATTTTGGAAAGAAGAGACAAGAATCGTTTCATCTGCACTCAGTGTGCAAAGAGTTTTGGAAAAAAAGGTGATCTTAAGATTCACTCGAGGATCCACACTGGAGAGAAACAATTCACATGCCCTCAGTGTGGGAAGAGTTTCAGCCAATCATCATCCCTTAATCAACACTTGAGGATCCACATTGGAGAGAAACCATTCACATGCACTCAGTGTGGGAAGAGTTTTAACCAATTATCACACCTTAACCACCACATGATGATCCACACTGGAGAGAAACCATTCTCATGGATTCAGTGTGGGAAGAGTTTCAGCCGATCTTCATCCCTTAATCTACACATGATGAGTCACACTGGAGAGAAACTATCACATGCACTCAGTGTGGGAAGAGTTTCAGCAAATCATCATGCCTTAAGCAACACTTTTTTAATGTCTAATCATCTTGTTTAATCCCGCCCCTTTTTGCAGTGCCTTACAACAGAATTTCGCGTGCTTAACGGTGTTGCCAACTATAGCGACTTTGTTGCTAGATTTAGTGACTTTTCATACCCCCCTAGCGACAAATTTTCAAAAATGTGACTAGCGACAAATCTAGCCACTTTTTTGTGTTTTACTCAAGATTTTTATAGACTGTCATTTGTCCATACTGTACCGTCCCTACTCTTCTCAAAGAGCTGCAGGTGATGTCGCCGGCCCCTCCCCCGCCTCAGAGCACTGACAGCTAGCCCAGTCCTCGTACAGCAGTCTCTCCCAACTGTAGCCTGAAAGCAGATCACATCTCTGCGCACCGATGGCAAATGATTTAGCACTGGTAGTGTGAAGGTATTTCCCTTGTACAGTCAAACCGATCTGCTTCTCATTTATTTTAAGTTTAATTTGACCGTTTATTATTTTCTTGTTTACAGTCACAGATATTTTAAGTGAGAGTGTCAGAACTTGTCTGATATTATTATGCGAATTCACTACACTTTAGGGACGCAACAATATGGTTAGCTTACGGTTCAATACATACCTTCGTATGTTTTAACACGGTTTTCAGTTCGGTTCCCATGGCTTGACACGTGTTTTTTTTATTATTATTTTTTTATTCTATAGGCAACAGGAACAGTAAGAAATTAAAGAGAACAAAAATAAAAACAATTTATTGCAATACTCATTTTGTTTCACTTAAAACCCAAGAAAAGTACATTAGTTCCTAGTGTATTGTATAAAAAAAGTTAACACTAAAATCTCACAGCTGCTAGTAGCCCATGTACAAACTGGGGAACACATAAAATCCTACACTTTGAAAATATACATGCATGTTAAGTTATTAAAGATAAATTGGCCATTTTAAATAAACACATTTGTACTTAAGTAAACATAAATAAACCATCCTAATTACCTCGGTGGTAAAAAATTCTAGACTGTAGTCTGTAACGCGGATCGAGTGCTTTTATAAAATGACAAAAGCCAATCTTTAGCAATAAACATCCTCACTGCCTTTGTTATTTTTATGTGTCTCTCGGAACCAGTTGGGTATGTTTGGTTGAAAGATTCAGCGTATGATTGTTGCTATATGGAGGACTTTATTACCTTCTCTGCTATCCTGCCTTCAGACAGTGATATTGCTGGGTGATGGTGCTACAGATGTGCAGTAATGGGTATACGTGTAAAACAATGCTTGCACACAGTTATTTTTTGTTCACTATTTTTATCTTTTATTGGCATTATGCTTACCGGCAAAACCGAAATGTCCTCACTCCGCAGATTTGAAAGACGCCGGCGATTTCTCATACTGTTGCCTCACTTCGCCGGCGCTTCCTTGTTCTGTGGCCTCAGCCTCACTTCACCGCCGCTCGCAATGTTAAAGTGTGGAATGATGGTCAAGTGCCCCCGAACTTTATATCATAGTGATTGGATATTTACTAACGGGGAGGAGTTTCCTTATCTCAGCTCATGGATTTAGAGGCACACACAGTCAATTCAGGGAGATATAAAAATGCACATAAATTATTTAAATGCAAAACCGAGAAAACACAAGCGCGTATTGAACCGTGGAGGGCGTACCGTACGGTTCAATATTATATTGAGAACTGTGGCATCCCTACTACACATCTATACTGTATTCAAACAGCAATAAATTTAGTTACATTGACATGCTTGCATAAAGCATAGTGCAAATATAAATACCCCTTTATTGACCATAGGCTGTTAAACAGAAATGGTAGAATGTGATGACGTTAGTAATATGCAAATTAACATATGATGTAATCTATAGACTTTTAGCGACTTTTTGGGCAGAGTTTAGCGCCTTTACGTTAAAAATATTTGGCAACAATGATGCTTAAAATCTAGTGTGACGGCAACTTCGGTGTGGGATGGGTTTCAGCAACTCCTCAGACCTTAATAAACACATGAAGACCCACACTGGAGAGAAACCATTCACATGCACTCAGTGTGGGAAGAGTCTCAACCGATCAGCAAACCTTAATGAACACAGGAAGATCCACACTGGTGTGAAAGAGTATATGTGCTTGAGTGTGAGAAGACTTTTGTTATAGCTGCAAAATTGAAACTGCACCAAATGATTCACATTAGAGAGACCGTTTAAGTGTTCACACCATGACAAGAGGTTTAATCAGTTAACACATCTGAAAACACAAAAGAGGATTCACACTGTTGAGAAACCGTACAGATCTGATCAGTGTCTACAGAGTTTTGCTCCTTCTGCACAGCTTAAGAAACATGGATAAAAAGTTGCACACCTGACATGAATGCAGCAAAACATTCTCTCATGTGCACAGGATGTTTCATGTCTAAATAGTGTTTGAAAAGGCGGAGTGACGGTATACTGTTTTCCAACACTCCTACACTGCAGTAGGTGGGGTTGTAAATGTGTTGCGCTCCTTGCGTTTATCGTAAACACGCTGGTGGCGGCTGAGAGAAGAACATAAATATCTGGCAAAGAGCACCTCTGCAGCTTAAAATCTCTTTGCAAGTGATTGTAAAGGTGCGGATACATCTGTACTCCACTCTCCAGTGCATTCATGAAGCTAGTGTTGTTTTGGATGATGTTTTCTGTCCGACTCCCTGAATGAGAAACAAATCACTGGGAAGACACCGCACATCAAAGAAGATGGAGCTCTAGGACAGTTAGTTTGCAGTATACCAGGGCCTCAAGTTTAGAAAGCCCATTCAATTGTCCTGTGTTGCATCTTTTATTAGTAAAGTTTCTTTACTTTTAGTTTCAAGATTCTTTCTAGTTTACTACATTTACTTTTTTTTAGTAGAATACAAACTTGATGAATATTTTATGATTTAGGCAGAGCGAGAGGTATTAAGTTTTACAATATTTATACACTGTGGTGATCCCAAGATTCCAAATTGGAGTATGTGGTAAATCCTGATTGGATGCCTGCATTACTCATCAATGGGTATATAAAAGTTGTTTGTGCTAGCTACCCCAGGGCGCTGTGGCAACTCAGGAGTCTTCCTGTCAAGACCTGCCATCTCATTGACTCTTTAACCTTATGGTTTTGTTTTCATTACTCATATCATGTAGTTAAAGTGTTGTGATTATATCCTAAGTTCTTTATCTTCATTATTATCCCTAGACATTTCTTGGTTGCTTTGATTGATTGTTTTATGAGTTAAGTTTTATAATAAATAATTTGCATTCAGGCTATTTTGTTGGTTCATCTCTCTTTTATGTTGCGACTCAAACAAGCGGGTCATAACACTTTGTAAAATGTGTCCGGTTGTATCCAAGATCTTGTCCTTTCAGTCATGATCGTAAGTGAGAGTAAGAACCTAGATTGAGCAGTAAATTGAGAACATTGCCTTTCGTCTCAGCTCCTTCACCACAACAGACAATCACATCAACTGCATTACTGCTGCCCCTGCACTGATCCATATTTAAATCTCACATTCCATTCCTCATGAAAAAAAAAAAAAAAAAAAAAAAACGCAGATACTTGAACATTTGGGGTATGGACTCTCTTCCAAACTGGACATGGCCACCTTTTTCCAGTTAAGCACCATGGTTTCTGACTTAGAGCTGCTGTTTCTCTCCCTGCCATGGCACTCAGCAGCAAACCGTCCCACTGCATGCTGAAGGTCCATATCCTATGAAGCCAAAAGGACATCGTTATCAGCAAATGGCAGAGACAGTCCTAGCCTGCACCTAAAATTATGCCAGTAAAAATTATTATATTTTTGAGATCAGCCTAAAAAATACACACTTTAACAAAATAAAATAAATAAATGGATGGATGGATGGATAGACATTGTAGTGGTGGAAGGGGAAGTAGGATGGCTTAATCAACCAAAAACCAAAATGGAGCCCTCTCAGGAGGGATGGACCAGTGCGGAAGATGTCTCAGACTGAAGGTATAATAATGAAATAAATGCTCAGAAAGCCCCAACCCTTTTTTATCAACTGGCTGTTTCATTGTACTTCTATGCAACCAAGGGTGCTCATTGTTCCAGAGAAATCAATTGACTAAATTATCAAACTTTTTAAAATATTGTAAAGAAATATTTACAGGATATACTGAAGTAGAGAAGTAATTTTAGGAAGACATTTCATTTTGAGTATGATAGTTTGTTATTTTGAGTAGTCAGAGCAGTGGTTCTCAATACTACTGCTTGTGCAAAATGAGTTGACAACCAAATTAATTTTAGCTTTTATTTCTAGATCTTAGAATGGCACCTGAGAAACCACAAAAGCTGAGATTTGGCTTATCTTTATCTGGTTAAGATCAATTTGCACCAGATCAGCAAGAGACAACATATGTTTGTTTCCTTCGCCGACTGGCCTCGATGAAACACGGCGTGTTTCTTACTTTTGTAAGTTTGTTACTATCTTGCATTAAATGTTACAAATACTGTTTCTGATACTAAATTGTCATTTACACCAACGTATTCCAAATATCACTAGCTTTTGTTTAGTACCAAACTTTATACATTTCAGACACATACAGAAGGATTCATCTGCAATAAGGGTTAAAAAAAAACAATTAAATAACTTGGTTGCAATAAAAACATGTAGTATTCAAAGAAAGCCACTGACCCAGAGGGACGAATTTAGTGATTTTCTTAAGTCCCTGGAATTTTTTTGAAGTAGCACACAATTCTTAAATTAACAAATCCAATATTTGTTAGTTCAAAAAATGTCTTGAATTTATGGCTAGAATTTTTTAAAGGAATAGTGCTGTGCATGGATTAATGTTATTTTAATATTCTTAAGACTGAGAATCTTACATTTACATTTAGTTGGGAATGGGAAGACATTACTCCAGCATGGAACAGTCAATGAAAATGTTTTGGAAATTGGAGGCTCCTGGAGGTAAAGGTAAGAGGGTGCAGTGCCAGTGATTTGAACTTGATACGAGCCTTGAGCTTTAACTAATGCAGAGAGATAAAGAGAGGAGTTACATTGAAGATCAGGGGCCACATGTATCAATGCTTGTATGCACAAAAACCTTGTGTATGCCAGATTTAACGCTCACCTTTGGATTTACTAATGATGAAATTAACGTGAGACTGTGGTCCACACCAACTTCATGTCTGGT